CACCCCCCCCCCCCAAATTTAACCTCTGATTGGAAATTACTGTAAAAGTGACTTCCATTGGTTCCTCATGATAAAGTTGCGAATTTTGCTTATTGCAAAGCTTAGTGAATGGTGGAAGTGTGAAGTAAATCAAGTAAATAGATGATATGAAGTCGGACTAACAAAATGGCTCTTATTCATTTCAAAAAAAGTAATGTATGTCATAAAAAAAATCCCTAAACAAATGCAATAGTTAAATTAAAATTAATAACTCTCGACGTGGTTCACCTTTCAATTCAAATAAGGCTGGCCCTTTTATTTGCCCCCCCCACTCCCCCCCCCCCCCNCGAAAATATTAAGATATGGAATAAATAAGCAAATGAAGGGTCTTAAATACGCAAATAGTTTTCTAGGGGAAAGAGACAAGTTCCGACAAAAAAGCCAATCTCGATCAGTGGCATGTTGACCTTCCAATCCTCTGGAAGCATAAGAAAGTAATTGGAGACGACTAGTTTTCCCTAGTCATCACTATCACCATCTATTCCACAAACCGAAAAGTGGAAGAAGAGAACACAAAGCACAAATGAGACAAAAACTGACAACAGCGTTAGTCTCAGCTCCATAGTCAGAGATGGTGTGATAAGCAATCAATAAGAGTAGAGACCATAGAGTCAAGTTGAGCAAGCCCACTCTATCCTTCATCCTAACCTCTCCACACAATGGAGACAGAAGATCGGGCTGCTTGATTGAGAGCAGAAAGCTCAAACGGAGGAGAGGGGGGATGGGGGGGAAGTGGGGGGGAGGGTGGAGTATAGGCTAAATGTCTGCGAGCAGGCGCGCGTGTCTATTCATACACGGAGACAAAGGCAGTTTAAGTAAAACAGGCAGACTGAAAAAATGCAAAAAAAAAACGTGCAAGATCTGGAGCGCCATGGCAGCAGAGAAGATTACATAGAAGAGTGAGTTCAAATTTTAGAAATCAAATCGTTTTTTAGAGCAAAAAGTTGCAAAAGAAGGGCGCCAACGATAAAGAGACATACTATGGAGGTTTTGAGTGAAAGTAATACACTGACAATAGCCTAGCCGATTCTTGGATACAAAACTCATTCGAGTTTTTACAGGGCATGAAAGTATCAAAATGCTCATCTCCGATCAGCAATACTGATTTATCTTCGAGAGGTTATGGAGAAAAATATCCAAGAGCGTATGTTCATTGGGAAACAGGGTGGGGGGTGGATACAAAAAACGGCATAGTTAAAAAAACCAGCAGTCTCACTTAGCTCCATTTTGACGTGAGTGACGAAGATTGAAATACTAGAGTCCCTTACATAGCATATCAATAAATTTACAATTAGGTTTCAGGCTTGTGGGCAATACAAATATGGCTAGTATATATTACCTAACGAGTGTCAAAACTAATGAGCAGAAAGCGAAGGGACACGAAAATGCGGATTAATAATAGATGACATGTAGCCAAGCTACAGCCCTAAGAGCCCGTATGATGCATGTGAAATAAAGAAGGGGGAGGAGGGATCCTATGTGACATAACGAAATTACTTAAAGGTGGAAAAGAGAAAAATATTAACAAAGGTGGGGTCAAGAATGATACGATACATTAGTTCCTATCAGTAGGGTGAAGACCAATCAAGGCGCATACTCAGGTATATGCGTAAGGCAAAGAGGGACATCGAAAGCACGCAGAAGAGGTGTGCAAATAAAAATATTCAATAACAGATGTGGAAGAACGGGTAAATCGATTGACAAAAAGGATCAATAACAAGGCCACAAATTTGATGAGCACATCTCTATAGAGAACAATAATGAAGATCAAATAACCAATAGAGGTACATCGGATTTAAACAAGGAAAGGCACAAATTTGTTCATCGTTGCAAAAGTTGGATTATACTTGGTGTCTAGAAATGATTTAAAAGACTTATAGATAAGGAAAGTTGTTGATAACCAAATGTACAATAGTTTAAAAGTAAGTCAATGAGGAAGGTAACTGCACTATCGACAAGACCATCGAGTTAAGACCTGAGGGAAGAAGGGAACCAATTCAGACGTAAAAAGCTGATGTGGAATATCTACGCCTCTTCTATGAAAACACGAGGCAGGAGCCGACCCTTTTGTCGCAATACATCTTTCCCAATATTGAACATTCTCTTTTTGATGGCCGGAACATATTAAATACTATACATGATTCAGGTCGTTTCTGGTCATCATCTACTCCCGCTGTCAACACACGTATAAATGAAAAAAATATATATAGACTATTAACGAGCGCGTAGAATGTGTAAACACTTTTAATGCATCCAGAAAAAAGTAACAAATGTCGTTATGTCAAATTTATCCCTGACACTCTGTAGTTCGTATATATAGGACAGGGATTTATTTTATTGTTTGGAAAGGAATAAAACGGAAAAAAGTAACCAAGTAGAGTTTTAATTAAGTATAAAAATTGATGTATTTTTATACATTGAGTTAATGGAGCATATTCACTGTGCTCACCTGACATGGCTTAGGTAATAGGTTCGATTCCCATCCGCGCATACACAATAAGTTGAATTGCCAAATCTGCATTAGCTGAATTCTGTTGACAAGGT